CCAGCATTGTTGGTTTTCCACATTAATTTTAGGGATAAAAATCTGCCTTTAATTTTCAATTATTTGTAATATTGGAAATGATCTTTTGACCTTCTGAAATGCAGCTTTTGTTTTTGATGGTGGTAAAATAGAGACAGTTTTCAACTACGATGTGTCTGTTCCACAGTACGCCCACCATAAGCCGGAAATGTTAAGTGAAAAGTATTTTTAGTGTGTCTAACCTACTGGACGTCCTCGCGTCGCGGCACAGTGTGTACTGTCGCGTCCCCTGGTGGTCGGGTTGCTGAGGAAGAGCTGCAGCTCGCTGCCGCAGCCCAGCATCAACACGGTGCATCAACACGGTTTGTATCTCCTCACATTCGCTTAGGAAGAGGTCAAAATCTGCAATAGTGTTTCTACTGACTGCATACCGCTTTTGCACGCTCACACAGTTGAAAACTCAGACCAAGCATCATAAGTGAGGGACCCCTGAATAACATAACATTTACCATTTTAACCATTTTTATGCGTACACTTCTGTGGCTTTAAGTACATTCACATTGTTGTCTATTACATTGGAAAGATTTTTTTTTTTAGTATATGGAAAATATTTTAAATAAAAACTTTCCTTGGCTATGTATACTATTAGTCAGTTTCCTTTAAAGCTTTTTTTTTTCCTGCTAAATATTGACCGAAGACCTAGTCAATGTCAGGCCCTGTGTTGTGATAGAGCAATGATAAAATGCCTGAGACAAGAGCAAGGTCTAAGGGAAAATGGCTCTGTGCCAAGAAGAGTAGGATGTGAAGAAGAGATCAGAGCCAGGTCCGAAGGAGGGATGTCAGAATGGTGCCCAAGACGATCTGAAACCACTGAAGGTGTTTAAGCGGAAACGTGACCCAGTGTGATTTCAGATCAAAAGACAGCTTTCGTTGCTTGTGGACAATGGCGGAGCGCAAGGCCGGTTATGGTTGCCGACAGGACTGGTAGTGCATCACACTGTGGAGACATGGGAGGAAAGGAATCAAGCATGGCTCCTGGGGTTCTGGGTTGAGCAACCATGCCTGAGAAACAGTGGGGAGAAGGAGCAGTTGGCTCCAGGAAGATGAGGAGGGCAGACTTGGACAAGTTCGGGACTGGAGGTGCCTGCGGGATGGCGCGGAGACGCCCCTGTGCAGTGGTGCTCATAGGTGGAGTTCCCAGAAGTCAGGGCCTATAAATAGCAAATGACCCGACAAGTAGTCAGTGTCCTTCATGACACAGTCTGTTATATCATTTGCTGTTTGTCTCTTGGCAGTTGCAGTAATGAATCCTTTACTGCAGTCAACAGATGGCTTCTCTTCTAATGCTGACCAGTTCTTTAAAAATACATAAACATGTTTATTGCTTTGAACTTTACCTTTGGCATGTAAACACCAAACCCTATCAAAGAAGACTCTGAGACTCCAGGTTTTTAAAGTGTATGTGCAAATTTTAGATCTCAGTGCAATCCGGACTCCGTGATTACACACAATTGAAAATGATGGCCAGTGTGGTAGTGAGTTCCACCAGGTCACACAGATGGGCAGCTGCAGAGCTAGTCGTGGAGTTCAGGACTCTGAGCTTGCTCAGCAGTCAGATTTCACTGCTGCGGACTGTCTGCCCCCTACTGAAGAGCCGCTGGCTTCAGAGTTCTTCGTGCTAATGATTTATTTCTTGTGGGACATGAAATGGTACCTACCTTGTTTGGTCTCAGAGCCCTGAGGCTGCAAATGTATTTTTATAGAAAGTGTAAGAAATAGGCAAAGGGAGCTGTGGTAGAGTATTTACCTAACATGCAAGAGGCTCTGGGGTTTGATCCCCAGCACAAAAAAAAAAAATACACAAACTAAAGAGAATCTTGGATTTCTTATGAACGTAGCTTAAAACTTTTCATGCTTCCTGGATCCTGTTAGTTTACTAGTGAAAGAAAAAACTCTGACCCTGAATATACACATAAAATTTTACATACAAATTTAGAAACTCCATAGACTCCACATTAAGGAACCCTCATCTTATAATTTGGGCTACTCTCAAGCACATATGAACCAGTTTTTCTAGAAAAAACGCCCAAGAATTTCCTTGTATTTTGGAACTAGTACAATAAATGTGAAGGATTTCAATAGTAGTTCAATGCCTTCCCAAATACCTTTCAGACAGTCCATGTCTACTGACCCATTAGTCACTGCTGACCAGAATCCACCTTGGTGACACTCTCTGAAAGTTTTATGAGGTGGTTGGGTGGTATTGAATTAGAGAGTCAGAAAGTTATTAATTCTTAGTAGAAATTTTATATTCTCTTAATGTTCTTAAAATTAACTGCCATATTAGATACTGTTTGAGCCCTGACAATAAAGAAAGTACTAACCCTTCCTCATCAAAGTAAAGCAAAGGAAGCCTCTTTTTTTGGTGCTAACTTATTTTTGAGGTCTCTAATTACACATAAAGAGGAGGCAGAAATACCAACCACAGTCTCGCTTTCAGCCCCTCTGAAGGCAAGAAATGTGGAGGAATTTTACTGCAGTGTAGAGAGAAAAGGAGACCTTCGCAGACCTCCCTTAGGTAGTCAGGCTGGAGGCCCAAACCTCCCCTTGCTCCAGCACCAGCTTCCTCCTGGCCATAGCCTGCACACTCCCCTTTCCTGGGATGCTCAGCCCCCTCATCTTTGTAGTGCTGGGAAATTACCCCCAGACTATGACCCTTCTGCTCGGGATGAATTTTTAGCTAGTGAGGATAACCTGGTTTTCTTCAGACACAAGTTTTTAAGATTCCTGTTTCTTCTGCTGAGTTTCTGATAACAAATTGGAACGATTTTTGTTGCACTTTTTTTGTGTCACTCCCTAGAAGTGTGTTTTGTGTATCCTTTGTCCTCCTCTTTCCTCGGAATGTGAAGGCCTCATCACGGCAGGGGTGGAGCTCATCAGTCTTGATCCCAGTTGTATTCCCGTTGTCCCGGGCAGTACCCAGTGCCCGTACTGGCAGGTGGCTGGTAAAGCTTTGACTCTCCATAAATATCTTCCCCCATATACTCTTCAAGGACAGATGGCAGCGCACACAGATTGTCATTAAATGGAGGCTGTAGCCTCCATCCTCAGAGTACCGCCTCAAGGTTTCCCTTCACTTTAGAACTTTGTGTGGTTTCCATAGCAGCCACCCAGACATTGTCATGCTGTATAAACAGTTTGGTCAGTAGAAGAAACCTTCATTTTTACCAGAGATGAAAGCAAAATGGTTCAGAAGTTTGACTGTGGAAACAGCCTGGTTGAAGTCTGGAACCTGTCCTTAGTGACTGGGTGTGTGACCCTGCCAGGTACTGTTCCTTGTGCGCTTCAGTTGATTCATCTGTAAACGGAGTCAAGCACTGGCACTTGTTTATAGGGTTATTCAGAAGAGTAAATTAGTTGTGTAGGTAAAGTGTTAAAAGTCACTCTAAGGGCGTATGTGTTCAGTACTGTGGATAGGATAACAATGTGGGTGGTAGTGGTGGGGTTTGGCCAATGAAGTCAGAGGGTAAGTGTTTCTGTACTTTCTTATCATCTGATCATTCTGCTTTATTAAACATTTTTCTTCATCATTGCTTTCTTAAAATGTAAGAAATATAAAATACCATCTCTTAGAAATATTTTTGGCATTTTAAAATATTTACATTGATTTTTTTTTAAAAGATAAGGAACACAGCTTGATTCCTTGCATTAGTTGTTTGCGGTTATTTAGAAACTTTATTTCCATGAGGATATGAATTTCTTTCCCCCAGAGACTACATAAAATTAGTTGCCCCTATTTGGAGCATTTCTATAATACTGTCCTCCATATTTGAGTCTTTCTCACAAATGATATAGAGGAAAAGAGTAATACAATATTACTTATTATAAAATCAGAATAAATTACTCAGCATGGAAGATTTTAATTTGAGATAATGTTCATGAATTTTTAAAGATTATTTCACAGAGAACTTAATTATGTTTCTGTATATCTTTTTAAAATGTTTTTCCTCACTCAGTGAATCCATAAATACCAGATTTAAAGTTTCTGTCAAGAAGAATTATTCTTAAGTCAGCTTTAAGAATGGGGTATGTGGAGGGGAAACAAAAAGAAAGCATTCAATTGTGTTCCACACCCTTAATTGATGATTTATAGTAAATGGTGACTGGGCATAGAGGGAAACTACAAATGAAATTGAAATGAAAATCAGCCTATGACCTGAATCTGTCTTTTTGGTTTTTGTTATTGCTAAAATGTTAATAATAAAAATACTGTTCATGGTTTCCTAATGGTCTCAAATTCATTTCATTTTGTTTGGTCCTTTGTCCTATTTTTAAAAAGCACTTAAAAAAAAAAAGAGACTTGGAAAGGATGTGAAAGGAAGAGACAGCATGAAAGCAGTAGACAAGGTGTCTGAGATTTTTCCCGTTTGTGTCTTCATGGGGCGTGTGGATGACAAGTTATCCGTGATGGCACTTCCGTTCTGTCTGAATGGGTTGTCCTACTTTCAGCACATGGGACTCTCCGTCCTCCCCAAGTTCAGGAAGTTACAGGCTGGGGGAGGTGGGTTCTTTTGTTGGCGATGCCACTTAAGTTTTAATTCTCAACGCACCAGTCCCTTTCTTACAAAAACTTCACTGCAGGGTTGGTGAGATGAGTAACAAAGACTCTCTGGGATCATGTGGGTAACACTGGAAAGTGATAGAAATAGAAGGAATGGAATACATTTTTAAAAACACAAAATACTTGGCTTGGAAGAAGTGTAGAATTGAATGAAAAATCTAGAGTAGAAGCCGTAAGAGTAAATTATTTGAATAAAAGGATAAAAAGAAACATTAGTCTGCATAGCATAGTTTGATCTTGTAGTAGTCTGTGTAACTTACTGTGATAAAGATGTTGGCTGTACGGTTTAGTAGCTGTGGCTTCTAATAGTATATACACCCTGACTTGTATGTGGTGTGGAGGTGTGGGGTGATGGTTGTCAGGAGCTTTTCACGAGTAGAATCTTCTTTCTTCTTTCCAGATTTTCACCTGATGGGAGACTAATTGTGTCATGCAGTGAGGATAAAACTGTTAAAATTTGGGATACCTCAAATAAGCAGTGCGTTAATAACTTCTCAGACACTGTAGGGTAAGTCCAGTGTTTTTGTACATCTGTATGTGTCAGTTTGCTAAGAAGACGCTTCATTATAAGAATTTAAATAAATTAGAGTAATGAAATGGCTACATTAGGCCATCTTATTCTTTCTTTGTAGGTTTGCAAATTATGTCGACTTTAACCCCAGTGGTACATGTATAGTTTCAGCAGGATCTGATCATACTGTGAAAATCTGGGATATAAGAGTGAACAAATTACTTCAGCACTATCAAGGTAACAATTCCTCTCACAAAAACTTTCAGTTATTGAATGGCTGCTCTGGGAAAGGCTGACTCTACTTAGTGCTGTGGTTTGGGTCTCTCTGTGGGGCCAGGAGCTACATTCGGGCTGACTAGAGAACAGTAGTTAGCTCCATCTCTGCAACAGCAGAAGCAAGAGGGAGAGAGAAAGGTAAAGCAACTTTACAAATGAACTGAGGGCCATCGAAGTTACTGTGGGATCTTAAACTGGCTACCTGCATTGTAAAAGAGCTCAGGGGTAGAAATTAGCTCTGAATTCTGAATTACAAAGAGTTTTGTGAGCCCAAATAAATGTTAAAACTGGTAGAAAAAAACTTATCACCATGCCTATGCCTGTATGAGACTGACATGCTACCTACTGCACTAACGAGGCCCTGTGCCTATATATTTTTTTTGTTTGTTTGTTTTTTGTTTTTCTCCGGTACCGGGAACCGAACTCACGACCTTGCGCTTGCCAGGCAGGCGCTTTTGCCGCTGAGCTAAATCCCCAGCCCCCTGTGCCTATATATTGAAACTAAAAGAAAAGTGAATTGGTTTTCTTGGCTTATATTTGGATATATATTAAATTCATGTTATTTCACATAACCATAATAATAGCTACCACTCAGTGTTTACTGTGTAGCCAGTACTGTGCTAACTCTTCAGAAGAGGAGTTAATAGGTATCATTATAAAAATAAAGAAACTGAGATTTAAGGAGGGTAACTTGCTCAAATAACTGATAGAAGTGATTTAGGTCACTGCTGACAAAAGTGCAGGGGGCAACAAACTTTTGTTCTCTGCACTGTACTGCCTCCTCTTGGAAGGATGTCTGGAAACGAGCTCTCAGATGCAGTGGCCGGGCTGTCCACGCTCTTCATACATGTCTCCACGTTCGTCACCTCTTCCTCCCGAGTCCCTAACTGCTTACTGCATTTGAGGCCAGGTCATGTACCTTCCATGAGCTGTTAGTAATCAACTCTTGATTATTTTGGCAGTATACCCAAAGACTTTATGCTTATGTGTCAATAAAATCATCTTTACATGACAATCTTGTTTTTAAATCTGTCTCATTCGCTTTAAGCAACATAATGCCAAAGTATCTGTTCATTTTAGTGAGCCATTGTCTCTAATTGATTATAATATTCAAACTAATATTGCTAATGAGACAAAGGTGCATCTTTGGAATTAAGAATTGTTCTCTGAAGCAAAGAAAAACACTTAAGATTATAAAGAAAAACAGTTATATTGAAGCAATCTGTCAAAGTGTTAAAGATCATATGATAGTAAATAATTGTTTTTTGAATTTTTGTCTTTCTTTTCCATAAATTAGTTCACAATGGTGGAGTTAATTGTATATCGTTCCATCCTTCCGGGAATTACCTCCTCACTGCCTCCTCGGATGGTACACTTAAGGTTCTGGATCTCTTAGAAGGAAGACTCATATATACACTTCAAGGACATATGGTACTGGGGCTGAGATTTTTACTTTTTAAATAATATATATTTAAAGTTTGATCCATTTTATGGTATGCCTTTATTAGTTTTCCAGGTGTAGCACAAGTTGCTGCTAGCACTAAAAATTTTTACTTTTAACACTATGTCTTTATACTATTTTGTCAAAATCAGTGTCCTCCAGTGGCCATCAATTAAGTAATGCTGCCTTCCCCAGTATGTGGCACAGGCTGACTGGTGAAACGGCTATGATAAGTTCATTTATGACTTGTGATTTCCCTCCTGCCGAGGCCTCTCTAGCTCTGACACAGCCCCACACCCCCCTCACTCACGCCATTCGGTAATTTGAAAAGAGAAATTTGACAAGCGCAGCCCAACGCCTCTCTGTCTTGCCTTTGGCAATGAGCCTGTCCTTGCTATTTTGCTCTGCTGCTTACGAGGAGGCTTGCCTTCCTCGGTACTGCCTTGATTACCATCAAGCCTGACTTACTCTGGGTGTCACTTCTAGAGAACCCATTTGCTTCAGAGATAAAAGCCATATTCTTTTTCTACAACCTTCTATTGATAAGAAAGCTGATATCTTGGCTTATATGCCTTATTTCTTTGTCATATTTCTCAACTGGTTTAGAGCCAAGTGGGGCAGGCAGAGTGAGACATTTTTATGTATATGAGCTATGTAAAGTATTCCTCCCTTGTGGGTAAATAGTCAACCTGCTTTGTATTTCTTAGAACACATTTTTTTAATGTAGTAGGTACTTGCTTTTCACCAAGTATAAGCTGTTCCTATCTAGAAATAGAGTGGACTTCCTGGTCTGGAAGAGCAGACGCTCTCTCTGCCTTTGTGTATCCTGCCTGGTCTCCTGCTCTGCTTTATCATTTGTTCGGCAGCAGCGGAGGGTGAAGCAGAAATAGACTCACCAGCTCAGATAATGTGCACACACATGGGCGGAGTGTGAATACGCACCGCCAAGAAGAGTGGCCAAGGATCGAAATATCCGTGAATGTACAAAGCCATAGAAAGAAACAAGCCCAATATTTTAGGAGAAAAAAAAAAACTATACATGAAGGGAAAATTTTCCATAGTCTAGACGTGAAGCTGTTATGAAGCTATAATAACCCAAGTCTATGGGATGATCTACTTGAAAAATTCAAAATGTTTTCCCCAAAACTTTTCTTGTGTACATTAAGGGCACATTTTAAAAATAAATAATATATTAGTATTTTTAGGATGAGAAATAATTCTTCTCTTCTTGATTGAAAGACCTACAGGCTATTTATCTTGTGACTATGCCAAGTTCAACACCACAGTAAATTTCTCAATCGAATGTCAAGTTCTCTTGTCCCCCACCTGGATAATTACTGTAACTTCCTCACTGGCCTCCATCCATGCACGCTTACTCCAGTTCATCATTCTCGTAACTGTGGTCCTGATTTTCACCAGTCACAGCTTTCCCCTGTGTCCTGCTCCTACACGGCGAGCGGCTCACTGTTACCAGCTTCAGCAGGGAGAGCTCATCGGAGGTTGCTGTGCCCTGGGAGTGGTCTTTGTTTGTGTAGTCTTGTTCCCGTCACCTGCACACTGCCGTCCTGCTAGTAGCTGATTGGTTGAGTACGGAAAGCCAGAAACTATTATCAATTTCTATGTGTACACATTTTTCTTTAAAGGAGAAAAAGATGATTTTCTTACTGGTTTTTAGTACAGGTATTCCTTTTCTGTTAAACAGCTTTGTGTTCTAATACAGTTGGATTGGTTCTTTGATTCTCTTTACTCTGCCAGCATTAGTTGCTAGCACTAGATGTGTTCTATCAGTCTTATTGCATAAATAGTCTGCACAAATTAGGATGAAAAATTGGTACTTAGAGTCCTCTTGGGCATGTGAAAGCACCACCAAGTGCTTGTGTTTTGTCTCCATTATTTCTTAGGGACCTGTCTTTACTGTTTCATTTTCAAAAAGTGGAGAGCTGTTTTCGTCAGGAGGCGCAGATACACAGGTTTGTACACCTTTCAACTCCCTCTTTGATTTGAAATCTGACTGTGATAAAGGCATCTTTGGCCTCAGCTAAGATTTTTATAACCAGCTACTTTGTGTATGTTAAGATGATTATCAATGGGTTTATACTTTAATTTAGTGACAGGAAGTCTGCTGTCTGACAGCTGAGATAGTTCCAGTTGAAAGAGTGTTTTAATTCAGCAATTATTTTCTTTTGCTCATTTTTACACTGAATTATACATGAAACTCATACTTACTCAATGAGAGGAGTAGCTCTTTTACTTGAATTATTTCCTTTTATGTGTATATCTTGTTTCTTTAAGTGTTAAGCTTCTTGAAGATGGTCCATTGAAATTATTTGAAGCAAATCTGCATTTACTTGAAATGAGCCAGTTTTACGTTATGTATTTATTCATTCTTTGTTTCCTTTTGCAGTTCTGGGGATTAAACCCAGGGCCTTGGCACTGAGCTACATTCCCAAAGCTGGTATTATCATTATTACTATTTGCAATAATATTTTTATTGTTATTATATTTTGAGGGGCTGGGCATTTAGCTCAGTGGCACAGCACCAGCCTGGCAAGCACAAGGTCATGAGTTTGATTCCTGGTACCGGAAGAAAAACACAAACAAACAAAAAAAAATATTATATTTTGAGACAGGATCTTTGGGCTTCAACTTGCGTTCCTCCTGTCTCAGCCTCCCAGGGTGCTCAGATTGCACAGATCTATTGACTACAGTGGATGATCAGCCTGTGTACATATCTATAGTAGTACGTATCTATAATCCCAGCTGCTCTGGAGGCTGATGCAAGAGGACCATAAGTTTAAGGCCAGTCTGGGCAATATGACAAGAATGTGTCTAAAAAAAAAAAAAAAAAGAAGAAGAAAGGACTGAGGATGTAGCTCAGTGGTAGTTTGCCCCAATAACGTTGAAATATGTGTGCGTTCATGTGCAACCTTTCTGCCTCCTTTGAGGGGTGAGTCTATATATTCATTTTTTAAAAACTCAGTTCTGTTTGTACATGCAAATCAATAAATGCCACTATAACTGACTTTCCATAGGTCTTATTGTGGAAGACTAACTTTGATACATTGCACTGTAAAGATCTTAATAAAAGAAATCTCAAAAGACTGCATTTTGATTCGCCACCACACCTTCTGGATGTCTATCCTAGAATACCACATCCCCATCAGGGAAAAATTGAGACTATTGAAGTGAGTATTTTGTACATATTTGTTCTACTTTCTATATACTTTATGGGCTGTTAAAAGCGTATGAAACCTAGTCCTGCCCTAAAACAGAAGCACATGGACAAAGTCAATTGTTTCCACTAATAAAATGAAACAGTGTGCGTGTGGTAGTATGTAATAATGTTAAAAAGCCTCTTATATTCACTTCTTGAAGGCCTAGAAGTAAAGCTAAGAAATTGTGTTGACAGTAATAGGAAATGAGAAATTAAATCAAAAGTCTCTAGTGACCCCGAAGCCTGGACCAGCTGCATAGTCTAGCTGTTCTTAGAGTAGTCACGTGATGAGTATCCTGAGAACGGTCCTGAAGGGCAAGGGTTTTTATCATAGTGACTGCGATGGGCATCTTGAAACCCTTTTATAGCAAAAGCTATTCCCGCGAACAGTAAAAAGAAAAGATCTCGGCATTAAATCTAATAACTGAGATATTTTATTTCTTACCTACATAATTTTTAGGTATATTATCTATTTGACTATAGGAGTCTTACGGTTTCTTTTTGTTTTGTTTTGTGGTACTGGGACTTGAACCCAGGGCCTTTATACTGAGCTATATCCCGGCTCTTCCCCCTACCCTTTTCTTGAGATGGGGTCTTGCTGAGTCACTAAATTGCCTACACCTGGCTTGCGGTCCTTCTGTCTCTGCCTCCCAGAGTGCTGGATTACAGGCCGGTGCTGCCATGCCCTGCTTAACTGTGGGTTTTTGTCGGCAAGTTCCCTTAAGTCTTGTAGATTTAAGTGTCTTCTCCTCAAAGGGAAATTCATCTTTGCTAGGTATTTAGCTGGTCTTAGCCTATCAATTACCATTTTGTTCGATTCATTATTACCTGTTTATCTGATCTTTTAAAATCATTGTAGAGCGCTTCCTTGCTCTCAGGGGGTATTGTGAGCTCTGAGGTGTACTCCTGAGGGAAGGTGCATAGGAGCCTCATTCGCTGTTCAGGTGTTGGCGCCAGACCTGCTTCCTGCACCTTCCATGTTGCCCACCCTGGTCACTTCTTTAAGTTTGGTTTCCTTCATCTTGGTCTCTTCTGTTCTTCCAGGCACTTCTGTTCGTCTCAGGCTCTCCATGTGTGTATTGGTATCTCTTTTTTTCTCCTTTCTTTACATTGTTTGAACTATTTTTACATTTTTGCTTAATCCAGCCCTATCTTGGGATTGGTCTCTATGCAAGATATGGTTATGTTATGGTTTTTCATTGATAGTGTTGATTTTCAGTTCTTTGCTATACTTTTTATTATTTTTTACTTTGCATAGTCTTCTCGTTCTTTGAAGGCACTAACCATTGTGCTGTACTGCTTGCTCGTGCTACTTACTGCATCTCCACTTTTTCTTTAAAAGAAGGAATATAACATATGATTCATCACATTTTTCTTTAGTTTCTGCAATTACAGGTGTATTTGTTGATCTCACGTGATCACATACGTTCATATAAAATAAATGTGAAATATATTTTGACTTGCTCATTCTTATGTTACCAAAGCTGGAGTTTTTCCCTGAACTCTTGGTATTTTTCATTTTCACACTTCTGTCGCTTGGCGGGCTTCATCACGAGGAGCGGTCCTGCTGCCGTGTCACCCGCTCAGTCCCCGTCGCAGAGCAGCCGGCTGAGCCTGGCCTCCTCCTTGTTCAGTGGTATTTGCACGATACCGTGCTCCTCAGCACAGGGACACAAGGCATTTTCTCTGTGACTCGCTGTCAGTGTCAGCTCATTTAAGAGAGCCAGACCTTCTTTAAAATGTCAACAAGCTGTCTAAGTAGCTCCAGCCTGACTGGACAGCCCGGAAGCTGTAAAACCAGCCGGGTTGCTTTGTATTGCTAGGTCAGGATGACCCAGGCCACGCAAAGCCACTCTCAATTGTATTTTTCACATATATATTTAGAAATTCAATTGAAAAGTCTGCTCATTGTGGAATTAGAGTTCCCTCGCACTGTGCAGAACAAGCAGCATTGTTGCTGGCTTCTTTTCTGTGGCCTTGAGGATGTGAGCGAAATACTCAGTTTAGATTATCCGTAAGCACTCATGGCTACGTACTGAGGTGTGCAGTGTGACTTGTTTATATAAAACACTATCAAATCCTATGATATGAAATACCAGAGGGAAAGATTCCACATTTGAACAACCAACTGTTCATTTTTTTAAAATCTCCTAATAAAGCAAAGGTACAAAGTTTAACATGTTCTCATGGCTTGAACCACTAGTGGTACATGCGTGAATGTCCATGGGCAGCTTGTAGCACATGGTACAAACAGACCTAATCACTTTTATCGGTCTTTAAGGAAGGAGAGCTTACCTATGCTAGTTTGGAAATATTTAAAAACTGCAAAATCTTTTAAGGTTTCATGATTTAAAGAAAATAAATAAAATTAAAATATGTGGAATAAATAACATCTAAGTGTTTTATTTCTTTTACTTTGTCTTTTTGTGGTAATCATGCGTGTTTACTTTTGATCTAGAAGCAAGTTAGTGTGCCTATGATTTCTACTTTGTGCTTCCTGTAAGGCTGATTTGAGCTTTTAATTTCGATCTTCTGGATGAAACTCTCTGATTTTTACGAAAGCCACCCACCTACCTGACAGCCTTAGTGCTTTGCTTGTTTGGCGGTGGAAAATCCTTCAGGTCCCAAATCTTGAACACCCGCTGACTAAACATATAGGTTAGGAATTCCTGCATGGACAGAGCGCATGACAGCCAGACTGCTCTTTAGAAAACAGGGGAAGAGGAGGCCGTGTGGAACAAGGTACGAGGCTCTGAAGCCCGGCTTTGTGGAACAGGCCCCCGCTGTGTCCTCTCCACTGCTCCGTCCCTCCATCTGCAGTCTTGGTTGGTCCCTGGCCTGAGCACTCTATCTGAAATAAAAACACTAAAAATAAAAATGCCCTCCTCCTCCTCTCCCTCCTCCTCCTCTTTCTTCTCCTTTTCCTTCTTTGGAAGAAGCTCAGTATTTACAAAAAGGTCTGAACCCAGCCCACGCCGTCCTCAGTATGTCACTAGTTCATGATGACCTTACCTTCTTCGTGGGGTCACAAGCTGAATGCACTGTCCCAGCCCGTGCAGGAGAACAGTTTAATGTACGTGCATGGCACTTCTGTCCTGCCCTTTTGCATATTTGAGAAGACAGTAAAGCCTTCTAAGAGACAGTGATAGATCTTGCTAACATTAAGCCATAAAAAGTTATTTCAGGGGAATTACAAAATATTACATGAAAGAATATTACATAAATAGTATTCAGTAATAAAATGTTTTGATGGTTTTCAGTTTTATAATGGCATTTGAGATGATCTTAACCTATAAATGTGTACATGAAATTTTGTATGGCACTCAGCAGAAAGGAACAGATCCTTTAACTTAACCACACGTTTGAATAGTAATATTTAATGAAAGTCTGATGATTCACTGTGGAAAACTACAACTGATCAATTTAAATCTTCACATCTGAGATACAGTTTTCATCTCGGTCTTCTAATGAGATTAAAAACATTTACTATTTTGGATTAAAAATGATACTTTGTATTTTAATTCTCAGATTCATTCTTACACTGTTTTTGGCCTCAACAAGTGGCCTTTAAAGATTACATGATGATATTCCGTGTTTTACATAAGTGATTTAATATTTTAAAATTTCTGTGGATGTACTGTTTTTTGTCTACCTGAGAAACTGACGCATATGTAAGTAAAAGCTAGCAAGCGTCAGCACTAGAATTTTCACCCAGGCACTCTGCTTGCATTCTGTATTTTCAGCCACTTTGATGTCATACTGTACTTCAGTATAACAAAAATTAAGTTTCATCCGCTCAGCAGATGTCAAGGTACCTGTGTGCTCGCCATTGTCCCAGTTCACAGGACGCGGCAGTGAGCAAGGTGGGCGCGTGCCTTGCCCTTTGGGAGCCCGCAGCGGTGAGGGCCGTGGCACAGCCGCCCGATGGAGGGAGATGGGCCGGGGACGTGGCGCGGCCTGGGGCCTTCGAGGTGATACAGGTCGCCCTTGCCCACACCCCAGAGGCCGATCGTCGACCCTGTCCAGCTGGGCCTGACTTCCCCTGTCACAGCTGTCCCACCAAGCATGACAGTACCGTCCCTTGCGTTAGCAGTTTTCGTATGTGCAGAGTACCAAGAATTCTTTTAAATGAGAGGTATTTATCTATTCTTTCCGTGCCATTCAGATTTTTTGTTTTGTTTTAGGGGGTGTTTTTGTTTGAGCAATTCCAGTTTCAGACGGTGAAACCGAGTTTTATTTTCACCGGCGAGCATTCCCGTGTCTACACTAGGTGGCGGCAGATACAAGCGAGAGTGTGTCTGTGGGCCGTCCCTGGGCAGCTAGCCTAAGCCGCGAGGGACAGTGAGCGCCCAGGTTCTGGGGGTCGTTCTGGCTTTGAGTTTAGTTTTTGGCCGTTACTCCAGACTCCGAGCTCCCCGGAGGAGGCCGTGCTTGTTCTCCGCCTTGCGGGACAGCGGAAAGAAGCCGAGCTGCTGGCCGGCAGCCCCCAGCGACTGCGCGGGTGGATGTCTGCTCCGCACGGTCCAGCAGCTCCGCGCGCCCTCGGCCGGCCCTGTGCCCTCGCCCGGCCTGCCGCGCCGGACCCCGGACCCCACCAGCTTCTCCCCGGCCCCTGCTCCCCTCTGCCGTGCAGAAGTGGCCTGCAGCTTTCTGCCCTGGGCTGAGGGCTGCGCTCGCGCTTCGCTGATGGCTTTTCGGAGGACCCACGATCAGCCACGCTTTGTCACTGTCTGTGCAGTCAGCCTGCTGCTCTTTGAGGGGCATCGGTGTTCGCATTGTTGGTACCCAGTCCAGCCATTTCGTTGCCTTCTGTTTGCTCCTTATATTTACCACATTTGAATGTTATTTTTTATGTTTTGAGTCTCTGAATTTTGAAATCACCTCTGTCAGAGGTAGACATCATTCTAGCTAATCATTACCTTGCTTTTCTGTGTATCTTTGAATCACTGGCTTTGAACTTCACATCAAATATGTTTTTCTCTAGCTTCCTTGTTTATTTAACCTTTCAATCATGACATGCATAAGTATGAATTCTGAATCCATATACTCCTATGTTGCAGAATTTTCACTGCTATATAGTATTCCAGTGAATTTACCATAGTAGTGGTTCCTATAATCTATTTTACCATTAATAGATATTTGAGTATTTCCAGTTTTAGGGGTGTTGACCATTATAAACAATGTTGACATCATTGAACTTTCTAGTTTTTGCAGTCTGGTAGGTTTGAAATGGTATTTTCCTTTAATTTTTACTTTTTTCATTATAAATATTTCTGAGCATCTCTTCATATACTGGTTAACTGACAGGTTTTCACTTACATAATTTTTTCCCCTTAGGACTGCTTTTCTTTTCGCATTCATTTGTAGACTTTTCTTATATATTTGATGTATTTGTCCTTTTTCCATTTTATCGGTCATAACATCTCTTCCTGTTCTGTATCTGATTGTCCATTTTGCGTTGTCCACTGTTAAAGAGAACTCCTGAACTTTTATGCAACCAGGTACATCTTGCTTTTTTTTAACTGATTTTGTTTTTGCAGTTTTGTCTTTCTCAACCTCTGGTTATGAAGATGCCCTTACACGTTTACTTTAATGTACTTTATAGTTTCAGTATGACACTTATCCACTGTTCACCTTTTTACGTAGTATCAGACAGGGACCCATGTAGTAAGCTCAACTTCCTTTAATTTGTGTTCCTGCTTTTCCTTTACTGCCTGTATTTTCCATTTGTACAGGGCTCCGCTTCTGCTCTTCCTATTGGCAGTTTCTTTAATATCAACATAAGTTTTGTACTTTTTCTCCCTTAAGGTCTTACATATCTTTGTATATTTGGTCTATTGTATTTTTTAACTTTTATAGTATCATAAATAATTAAAAGCTAACTTCTTTTTAAAATTTAAATTTTCTGACTATGGTAGAATACAGAAATGCAGTTGATTTTGAGCGGTGATTTGAGGTCTACCAAATTTTGTTGCATGCTCTTGCAAGTTCTAGTGATTTAGCAATATGTACTTTTGGGATTTCTCCATGAGTAAGCATGTTAATGTATAAATGGCAATTTATTTTCTCTTTTCTAGTTCTTTCATCTTAACACTTCTTTCCTTTTTTTGTCTTAATAAACTGGCTAGGATTTTTTTCTGCATCTTTTGAGGTGGGTTATTTTATTTTATTTTAATATTCCTGTATAGGTAAATTACAGATTTTTAAAATGTGGAAATAATCTTTCATTCCTGCAATAAATTCAACTTTGTCATAAAGATCTTTCCTTACACACTGATAGATTTGGTAGGTTAATATTTTGAAAATATTTTGTTTGTATCCATGTTAATGACTGTTGTAATATATGTTAATTTTGCGATATAGTAGGATTCAATTTTCATAAATATCACCCAATTTCTTACGGTATAAAAATGTCATATTAACTTTTTTTATGTGTACACACAGATTAATCCAAAGCTTGAGGTAACTGATTTGCAGATTTCTTCTCCTCCCGTTGTGGACATCCTTTCTTTTGATTCTACCACAGTAAGTTTTCTTTAACATTTAGATGTTATTTAATTGTTTGGTACAATCTATTTCCTTAAAAAGTACGTGAGGAACGGGGAAATGTGGGCTACTCTAGCGCTTTAACGTGGAAAGACTTTGTCCAGCCATAGTTGTAATACATCTAAATAGCCACAAGGTGGAGCAGCGCCAGTTTCCAGAACAGCCTCTTCTTCGAAGTGCTGGAGTTCAGGCTAATCCACGCCGCCCGCCTGGTCTGCTCAGGCGCCACCCACGTGACCTTGCAGGCTGTCGCAGGACGCATTCCCTACTTTTTATCTTTCAGAGATTTCAATTCTAGACGTCTGATTAGAAGCTATGCTGAGAGCAGTCATCCCCCTTTGTTAATCTCCTGATGGGTTGTCTAGAAATTAAGTTCTAATGCTCATAATTTTGTTGATAAAACTTGGTATTCCAAGGCTTCGAAGACAGTTTAGCCTTCGATTTAAAAGTAAACTGAATCTCCTCAAGTTCTTACCAGAGGCTGTGATGCCGGTGAGCGCAAAGCGAGTTGTAAGAGCAAACGGGAAGTGCATGGGGTCTTTGGTGACACCGCTGTCCTGGTGTCATTTAGTTAAATATTTTGTGTAAGGTTTTAATGACCGTATGAACCCTCCAGTGGATCTCAAGAGCAGCATCTGCTGTAGCATTCTGTGAAGGACTAAACCATCGTGAGTCTGTGCTAATTGTCAAGGGCCTCACAGCAGAGACGGCTCCTTCCTCTCAGAGATGCTCCAGCGGCAAAAACGGAATGTCAGATGTGCAGTCACAGTGGCACATGAACGCGTCTCAGCACTGAGGAGGCTGAAGCAGGAGAATTACAAGTTCAAGCCCAGCCGGGCAACTTCATGATTTAGTGAGACCCTGTCTCAAAATTTAAAAAAAAAGGTAGCCAAGAGGCTGTTTACCGAAGGAAGCCTAGGACTCCCTGGTGACAGCACCTCAAGCTGCTCAGTGGCCTTCCCGCCAGCATTTCTGCGTTTAAGATGTACAGAATTAAAGACGAAAGCTGCGTGTGGCGGCGCACGCATGGACCTTAGCGCGCTGGGAGACCAGGCCTGGGCAGTTCAGTGACGAGACTCGCAAAAGTGATAGCCACATGCATACCACGCAGGCCCTGAGTCAAGCCCTAGCACTTGGGAATCCACTCATTAGATGTCTAAAACTGGCCACGGTGCCTGGCTTAGAAGCCGGTGTGCAGCACGCATATGTTCGGTGAGTTACCCAAAATGCAGTCACTGGAGTTTCCCAACCCTACTGAGCTGGCAGTTTTGCCTTGTAGAGGAAAAAAAGCAAAAGACAAAGCTGATGAGACGCGCTGTACGTTGCGAGGTCATCAGTAGACTAACTGAGTGTTTTCTGCTAATGGAGTAATTCCTGAAAAAGCAGCTCTAAAAGGCTTTCGTTCTACCTTTGGGGACATTTCTCCATTTTGGTACCCTTTGCTAGTCCTCATGTTCTGAAGAATTACACATTCTTGACGGGTAGTGTGATGGAGGTGGGCATAACCGCCACTGAGCAGGGGACAAAGGTGTCTGTGTCCTTTGTAATCCAGATGTGACAAAATCAGCTGGCCTGCACTTCAGGACTTTAACTCAGGGAATATGGTTATGTGGAACTTTAAGGTAACAATTCTGTGCAATAAATGTGCGATAAGTTGAGCAATTGTGTTAGAAAGCAGAATAATAACATTGAGAAATTCAGTTATCCCCCGAAGGGCTAATAGCGGGTTGAATTATATGAAATTGTCATTTTCTAACAAAAACAAGTCTAATATCAGTGACTTCACGTGTTCCACTAGTTAGCATTAAAACAGAGATTCTACTCTCTTTTGAGTTGTGTACTTGCTACAACATAAAAATAAAGCAAGTGCTGGGCGTGGTGGCACCCGCTTGTAATCCCAGCACTCGGGAGGCTGAGGCAGGAGGATCGCTGCAAGCTCTAGACCAACCTGGGCTACAAAGTAAGGTCAAGGCTGGTCTGAATTGCATAGCAAGACCTTGTCTCAAAAAGACAAACAAATGAATAAATAAAATAAAGCAAGCAAACAAGAAACACAGGAAGCTGAAGTTTTGTTTACTCTAAGTAGGTTTAGGATTAGGCTAATGAAGTGCCATCCAGGTAGATCCTTTTACAACAGAAAACTCACTGCTTATCTCCAGTGTGGTTTTCAGACGCTAGTCTTCAGAGCATCTGTACAGGGCTTTTCAAGGATTTCATTGTATAAATCTTTCCTTTGGATCCCAGATAGGTCATTGATTAGAAAACTTGTGAGATTACCTTTTTAACTATTTGCTTTCCCATCAATGAAGAGGTAACTCCTAATCTGTGTGGTCTCCTTACATTGACTATTTTTCTTCTGCTTCTGCCCAACAAATAAATCAAACATGAGTGTAAAAGAGATTTGTTTCTGCTTTGACATGAACCACAGTTTGCACTAAATATTTTTTGCTGTGAACTTTGTATGTGATTCTAATTTAGAGAAATTTCGGAAACAACAAAAAGCAGTTTTTAAAGTAGGTTTTTTTGTTGTTGTTATTAGGGTTACTGTTTCTCTTAGGAGTTTCTTTGGCTTTTACAGACTAGAAGAAAAGTACCTTAGAAGCTCATTTCATCAAGGTGGGAGAGAAAAATCACCCTTTAAACCGTTATTTGTCAAGTATTTTAGAAGACTAAAAGCAGGTTTTATATAGTGCAAGAAATGGTTGGCTTCTGCTTCTGCTCCCGTTTGAATTATATTCGGGATGATTTTGAGAGCTAAGTGTACTAATAATTTATCTACACTCTGATGTCTGACCAGCCTTCATTTTTAAAGCCCGATATAAAAACTTTCGGTAAAAGGATATATTGGCTATCATTTAGACATAGTTTAAAAATATTGATCTTCTCAAGTACTTGAATCCTTATTTTGATTAAGTCGCTTATTACATACTGTACTAATTCTCTAAAGATTATCTACTTCAAGATTCCATTTCAGCCTTTTAGTGTTTTCATTAATTTAGTTGGAATCAGTCCAGGATTCTGTCGCCAGAATTTTACTAGAGCCATCTAGGGATGTAGCTCAGTGGTAGAGTAAATCTCTGGGTTCTGTCCCCACATCCCCAGAAAACAGAACCCAACACTTCCCATTACTGTGGATGTGTGATGCAGCCACGAGGAATGTTCCTAACCCTCTTCCTCGCTCGCCGCACCCGAAAGGGGGGACAGGGGTATGTGTGCGTGTGTGTGTGTTAGCTTCCTATAACTAAAAGTTATTTTTAAATACTCCTGACCATTAAACTTCTTATCTTGGATTAATCATAGTCTTAAGTTTTGATGCAGGTGTTTTTTGTCTTCCTATCACAGAACAAAATGCAGGTGGTAATCCTGCTGTTGTTTGATGATCACAAACAGAGTCCTTCTCAGCTAGAGATGACACAGTGTCCTCGTCTTTCTCCTGGCAACTGTGCAGAGCATGAAATGTGTCCCTTTCTTTAAATTAGGGACAGAATTTCAGGTCAAATTAATTTTTACAATAAACTAAGAACTCATAATCACATTATAGGGAAAAAACCTAAGGATAAGGAGCCCTTGTTATGTCGGCCATGAGAATGCAGACCTGTGCGTGAAGGTATGTGTGAGACTGAGGGCATGTCCGGGTGGCGGCCTCACCTCTAGGCTGTAGAAATACCCACGTGGGAGACAAGTGTCAGTGGCAAGACACTTGCCTCGTGTACAGGACTGCCACTGAAAGGCTGCTCGTGAGGGTATGCAGCAGGGATCATTAACAGGCCAGAAGAAAGTAAAGATCTTCTCTAGAAGAAAACCTGGTTAGGACTCAGCCAGACAGAAGGGGGTATGATTTTGATAGGATCATTCCAGAGAGGGAAAGCAGGGTGTAAGTAGAGACCTCTGAGAACCTGAAAATGTATACCATGATAATACAAGGGCCTCCGTCTAGGGGTCTTTACACGGCAGAACTCAACAACTGGCAGATGGGACTGGATCCAGGGGTGTACACACTTACATCCTACATACGCGTCTCCCAAGAAGTGTTTACTAAATGGCCGTTCTGCCAGTCACCATTCTAAGCTTGAGAAACATCTGCCCCCTAGAAGCCTAGATTCCACATTCTAGTCAGGGAAACAGGCAATTCACAGATTACAAAAATAAACTTTATAGCATAGTGAACCAAAACGCACAAAGGTTAAAAAAAAGCCCTAAAGACAGATGGGAAGGGGATGGGAAGAGGCTGGCATTTTAGATAGCGTGGGCGCCACGTGACCGGTGGGGGCCATTTGAATAAAGAACTGGAGGGCTGAAGGGGGCAAGTCAAGTGGCCGTCTGGAACCACACCCCCAGGGCAGGAGCAGATAGCAGCCAGGTCTCTGGTGGCAAAGGAGGCAGCGGGGTCCTGCGAGGAGGGATGTGACGGGGCAAGTTCACTCCCCTGCAGTGTGAAAACAGGCGGGGGGGGGGGCGCTAACTAGGAAGCTCGTGAAATAATCAGCCTGAAGGCCGCAGTGGCTTGACCCAGGGCGGAGGCAGGGGAGGAGGTGTTTAGTGATCCCACTCTGGATGTATTTTGAAGGCAGAGCCAAGAGGATTTCCTGACAGGTTGGATGTCAGCTGTGGGATTCCCTATCTCCTTTCCCCAGGGACCATAAGGTGTAGCCCTGAGCCATCTCAGGGTAGCTGAGAATATCTCCTGGCTCTGCCTGGTTTTGGCAGGGGAACTGCTGAAAGAAAAAGAATCATGGTTTTCCTGTCTTCAGTTGTAGGGTCAGGAAAGCGATCAGCTGAATCAGTGCAAGAGATACTCTGCTGTTTCCGTGTCTCTGGGAAGTGCACCCCTTCCTGAATGTCATTCAGATTTGCACTTTTCAGCAAAGTGTACGGGTTTTCCTCTGGAAAGAATTTTGCGTTCGCCTCATTTTAGGAAGAAAAAGACCAGTGGGCTTTTGTGGAGACTGTCAGGTCCCATGCTCCCGAAAGCTGGTGAT